GAGAGGGCTTGTGAGAGGACTGAGGGGGTTTGCGAGGGGCTTGTGGGGTGTGCGAGCAGGTTTGTGAGAGGACTGCGAGGGGTCTGAAGGGGTATGAGAGGTCTGAGGGGGTTTGTGAGAGGACTGAGGGGTGCGAGCTGGTTTGTGAGAGGACGGAGGGGGTTTGCAAGGAGCTTGTGAGGGGTGCGAGCGGGTTTGTGAGAGGACTGCAAGGGGTCTGAGGGGGTATGAGAGGTCTGAGGGGGTTTGTGAGAGGAGTGAGGGGAGTGTGAGAGGTCTGGGATGGGCGCGAGGGGTCTGAGGGGGTTTGTGAGAGATCTGTGAGGGGTGTGAGGGGGTGTATGACAGGACTGAGGGGGTTTGCGAGGGGTTTGTGAGGGGTGTGAGGGCATTTGTGAGAGGACTGTGAGGGGTTTGTGAGGGGTGTCAGGGCGGCAGCATGGTGGTGCCTTGAGCAGCTGGGTTGCTTACAGCAAGCGGGCACCAGACTGGGGAGATGGGTGCTAGGCAGAGGGGGGTGGTGTCCTCATGAGGCGGAGCAGCTCTGGTCATAGGTGTTTAGCAGGCTAGGGGTAGAGAGGCATTACCCCTGGGCCCTTGGTTAGACCAAGGCAGTGCACTGGCACTGCGGGCTTGGCAAGAAGGCTGCTCTGGGTCCATGCTAGTGAGGTGGTTCTGGGTTTTATGGCCATTCTCCATGCAGCAGCTTAGCTCTGATCATCGTGAGATCACATCATCATCATAAGAGCACAGCTAAGTTACAGCCTGCGCTCAGTGAGTTTGCACCTTCATTGAACAGTGTTAGCCTTGTTTCTGTACCCACATAGTGCACACTGCTTAAGTTCTGTAAATTCATGCAGGACCCCTAAATCCTGACATACCTCAGCTGTGGAATATTCTGTGATTATACTTCATAGCGTACCTGCTGGCAGTGAAAAAAACAAATTTGGCATAAGACTATTATGTAGCTGCCACTAGAGTTCAGTTCTGGACCTACACAAATCTTGCTGTTCTTGATTTAATCCCTAGTGAGGACATACTTCTCTTACAGCTGTCTTCATAAAACTCGTCGTGTGTTTTATGCTCGTCATGTGTTTTATGAAAAGTATTTGCCATTTTTTGAGAGACCCCTCATTGTGAACGTGCGGTAGAAGTTCTCACTTAGAAGTAATGAGGCTGGCTTGTGAAGGAACTTGAACTCTACTGAGTGGGAAGGGAGATAAATACATCTGCGAAATAATAATATTCATGCAAAGTGGCCATGAACTTCTCAGTCCATTTTCATTCCACCTTTACAATAAAGCTCCAAGAACATGAAACAGCTTAGATTGTTGAGACTTTCTTACCTGGTGGTACCAAAAAGGAGCAGCAGCATCTTTATGCTTGTGGCTTTTATGGTATGAACAACAGCTGGAGAAAAAGGAAGAGAGTTGTGTCGCGAGATGTGACCTTTAGGACCATGCCAGGAGCCTGGGAAATAATACCATTTCCTTGCTGTAAAAATCTTGGCAAATTGACAAGCATGGAAGCAATTTACTCTTAATATGAAAGTCACCTTTGCCCTAAGCACTTCTTTTCATATTTGAGGCTTAGTACAGATTGATTAAAGGCAAAACAGCAAAGGATTTCTGAAATGTCAGGACCTTTCTGGTGTTCATCCAACCGCACTTGTCTTGTTTTATTACTCGGCTAAGATGCAGAGGAGGCGTCCCGGTGCTCATGACGCTCTACGTTCCTCTCCCCTGCACCCTTCCCGCCCTCCCAGTCAGTTCAGACGCACTCCAGGGCAACCGCAGCTTTACTCCAGCTTGCCCAGCACCAGGGAGGGCTGTTGCCTTTGCCATTGGCTCTCAGCCCCTCCTCGACTCTGGGGTCAAGGTGAGCAGAGTCAGGGTGATGGTACTCGCCCCCATCAGGAGGGTACTGCCTCCCAAATCGCTGTGCTCCCTTCAGCCTCCAGGCACTTCTCCTCTTCTCTCTCTCACTTGGGATCTCAAGCACCCCTGCTGTTCTTGTGTGGGTGGTTCCCAAACGGAGTCCAGCAGAGGACCATGAAGATGATGAAGGGACTGGAGCATCTGTCATGAGGGGAGAGGCTGACAGAGCTGGGACTGTTCAGCCTGGAGCAGAGAAGGCTCAGGGAGGAATTCCCCAATGTGTATAAATACCTGATGGGAGGGAATGAAGAGGAGGAGGGCAGGCTCTTCTTAGTGGTGTCTACTGACAGGACAAGATGCAATGGGCACAAGTTAAAAAAAACATTAAACTCAGTCTGAATACAATAATTTTTACATGTTTCATTTGTTTGGTTTTGGTTGGTTTTTTACTGTGAGGGTGATCAAACACTGGAGCAGGTTGCCCAGAGAGGTTATGGAGTCTCTGTCTGTGGAGATATTCAACACCCAACTGGACACGGTCCTGGACAACCGGCTCCAGCTGACCCTGCTTGAGCAGGGGGGTTGGACTAGATGATCTCCAGAGGTCGCTTCCAACCTTGAGCACGTGGTGATTCAGCAGCTAGCACGTCCCAGCTATGACTGAGCCTCTCATATTTCCACTTCATTCTAAACCTTACAGATTTTGGTCACCCCACCAAAGCCGCCTGATTTTAGTAGGGATTTGACTTTTCATTTTTACTTGCAGTAAAACCTGAGTGTTGGCAGAAAGGTGGTGTTTCCGGGTCAGCCTGAAGGATGGGACTTGGCAGGAATGGCTGCAAAGTGCTTATCCATGGGACGCTGACCAGAGGTATGAAGCAAGGAGCCCAGGTGGAGTGCAGGGGGAGGAGAGGAAGAACTGGCTGGGTGAAGTAAAATACCCATTAACCATCACCCTAACCCCAAACGTGCAGGTCACCTCATGTCACGTTCTGCAATGACCATAGGGTGAATTTAGAGGAAAACAGGCTTTTTCATCTTCCTGATTTTCAGTGACAATGAAAGGTGTCTGCCCCACGAGGCTGATGGTTTTGGAAAGGATTGGATGCAACGTTCAGAGGTTTCAGCATTTTGTCGACATAATGATAGCGCTGCTCTCCACTTGGCCAATGACATCTCCTCACTGGAGCCCTCAGACCTTCCCCGAGTATTATTGTCTGTGAAGTTCATTAATGTGCAATTTGCTCCCCCCTCCTCCTCATTAATAACCATGTCGGATAAGAATGGTCTTAACAATCCTGTCTGCGGGGAATTTTTCTTTTAATGAGAGTGATTCAGGCTTCTTACTCAGACATAAAAATGGTATCCCCTAGGTTTTCCCACGTCACTCCCAACCCCCCCTCTGTTACCACTGCTTCATGGTTTTGTTGCTCTTTAGAGGCTTACGTGTCAAATTCACATGGGCACCCCAAAACTGAGACAGCTGCATGACTTCTTTTTCAGCCTTTCTGAAATAATAGTTCCATTCATGTTCAGCCCCTTTCTGTCTGTATGTAACGGTGACCCAGAGCATTCAAAGCACTAGATATATGTAAATGCAAAGGGATAACCCTAAGCTAAGTTTCTCTCTCTCAAAAAAAAGTTAAATCAGATATCTTAGAGCTAAAAACTCATTCTGGTTCATTGGCATTGTGTTTCCAGATTTGTTGTATTCATTTGTAGTAGATTCTGACACGGCTGTTCATTTTGCCTTGAAAACACAACCAATAATAGCCTGAAAAAAAAAATCTTAACTATTGAAGTTCCCACCTTCTAGGTGGGGATTTCTCACCCAATCAAAGGGTGGCCACACAAATCATTGATTCAGCACCTAGCACAGATGACATCTGAAGACCTGTTCCCCATGGAGGAAGTTTCTGCTCGTCCATCAGTGGACGTTGTGACTAGGCTGTGAAACTCCTTCGCCCAGGCTGCTGTGGATGCCGGAAGATCAAGTGGGTTCAAATGAAGGCTGGACAAGTACGCAGAAGGAAGGTCCACTGAGGCTTATTAAATGCAAAGAGGAAACACCTCTGGCTCCAAAACATCCCTGAGACACAAACTGTTCAAAGCCGATACTGGAGGAAATACTTATCCTCTCTTCTTATACTCTTGCCTAGGCATTGGCTTTTGGCCCCAGCAGGAGATGGGATTTGGGGCAAAAAGGACCTTTGCTCCCATGCTGCGCAACCACTGTTGTGATCTCGCACTTCATCAGGTTCCCATCCCCTCCTGACCTCCATCCCCTTACCTCACAGGAGGCTTCCACCGCATCAGCTGAGCTGAACGCTGAATGACTGAGCTCTGACTGAAGCAATGAGAATGGCAGCTGTGGGAAGAGGTAGTAGAAACCTCTTCCGTAAGAAAATAAAAGGGTTATGGTTCATAAAACCAGTTACTATTAAACAAGCCTAGGGCTAAAGGAGGGTCCCTCCTTTAGGCCGAAAATAAAGCAGAGGTTCTCTTGCTCTCCTAGCTTCACCTGATCCACATCAAGATGACGGGAGCGGTCCGAGGGGTTGATGGTACCTGCCAGAATGCTTGCCTTTGCTGGCCTCCTGTTACGGAAAATGAAGATTTTTCCATCCAGACTAATCAGCTGCACGTTGCAGCTGGCTTACCCCATAATACTCTGAAAAGCTAGCATATGGCTCATTACAATATACCCTGACTAAGTGTTCAGCCAAACAATCCACCAAAGCGTTTTTGCTTCTCTGATGTGCCGTTTGCACTTTTTGCAAACAAAGCAAC